GAACTTTTGAGAGTTCAACAAATTATGCTTCTGAGAGATGGTGTCAGATTTGCTTGTAAAAAACCATAGGAGAATAAGGAATCTATGATTTCTTTGGAAAATATTGAGAAAGAAGAATTATGTTTGATATAAGAAAAAGTCCTATTATTGAAAGTTGGTATATAGACATCTATTAATTAAATAATCATCACGTATTAAATACCTACTGGGTTCCAGGCAGTCATAATTATTGGGGATACTCACCTAATATATTTAAAAATTCATGCCCTCAAGGAGCTTCCATTCTGTGTGAGTTCTTGAAAAAGGCAAGTTGTTAGTCTTTTCTGTCTTATGCACTCAACTAATGTGTATATTTAATATGTGTATAGAAGTATGTGTATATATGTGTGTGTGTCTGTGTGTGTTTGTGTATATATACATCTGCATCCATATATTCATAATATATATGTATACATACATATGTGTGTACCCAAGTGGCTGCCTGGTATAGTGGATAAAGGGACAGCTTTAGAATCAATGGAACCCAGGTTGAAATCCCCACTTCAAACACACATCAATTCTATTACCCTTAGAGTCACTTTAATTGGCAGGAGTCTTAGTCAAATCTCTAAAACAATTGTTGCAGAATAGTCAATGATCTGCATAAGTGGAGGGAGTTTTCATATTAGCACCTCCCTACAACAATAAACACAACTCTGCAAAATATGTACATATACAAACACACATTTGTTAAGGCTTTTAGGATACCTTATATCACTATATATATATATTGCATATATACACATATATACTTATGTATTTATGTGTGTATATTTAAGAATATATACACATATATACATTTATATAGAAGTAGTTTTCTCAGATTTCATTGATGTAAGAGTTCTTGGTAAGGAAACTCTTTGCCAATATGGATCAAAAATTATTCCTAGAGAGTTTCCAGGGTTACTGCCAGGCTGTTGTTCCTGCTGTTGTTGTTGCTGCTGCTGCTGCTGTTGTGGTTAGTGTGTATGTGTCTTATTTTTACTTTTTTTAAAAAATTCATGCAAATATCACTCTTTGAGAATTTAAAAAGAGCTATTTTTTCTTTTGTTTCCTCTGTTGTGTTTTTTTTTTTCAGTTCAAGTACTTCATCCAAGGACATAGAGCCAATGTATGTCAGAGGTGGAGACTTGTAGCTGAGTTGCATAGACTCTTAGGTCAGCTCTCTCTCTCCACTAAATCAGGCTGTCTCTTGGTTTACAACATATACCCATGAAATGTGGTTGATTTTCTTCTCACAGAATATTTGGTGAGGTCCTACCTGAACGTGAAGGGAAGTAAAAACTGTCTTCTCAGTGACTGGTACAGTACTAGATTTATAGATTCTTTGTGATCTATATAAACCATTCTTTACCCATGACATCACATCTTTACCAGAAAGCTGAAATAAATTTCAGTGAAGACAAAAGAATTCTTTGTTGCCTTGTTTTAGATCTCCGATTTTTTGAGCTGAAAGAGTTCTGAGGGTTATACTAATCCAATCTCCCCCACAACATTAGAATTTCTTACACAACATTTCTTACCAATAGTCATTGGTTTCTATTTAAACACTACAGGTAAGTCCTACTTTAACATTCAAATTGTCAGAAAGTCTTACTTACATTAACCCGAGATCTGCCTCCCTGAAATTTCTACCTATTAGCCCTACCTTTGGTCTTCTAGGGCAGTCTAGCAGAGTGGACTCCATTCCTTTATGATAATCCATCAAAAATTAATGTAGCAGAAGTTTGGAGAAGGATCACAACTAAGAATGTGACTTTAAAAATGATCAGGGAGAATTTGTCCTCTAATTATTTTTCTTTAGAATGAAGAAAATTAGTGGGCTGGGGAAGGTGCAAAGAAGCAGATAGGGATTTCACGGGTTCTAGACTAAGTATATTATTTGAGGAATGGAACCTTCTATCTCAATCACTTTCCTACTGAAGTTCCAAGACCCAGAATCTATCAGCAATTTGACACTTGGTTTACTTATTTCAGTTGGCTGTAATCTCTTCATCCATCACAGAGCAAAGGGCAAGTGATGGGGCTGATGACAAAAGGTAATTGAGTAAGGGGAGCAAAAAAATATCATCATGAATATTTTGTATATAGTGACTTCTATGAACATTAGACATGAAACTGAAAATGATTGATCCAAGAAAAGGGTAGGGGGCTATAGTTATATAGTTCCTTTGTCTTTTGGAGCTCTGATGCGAAGGAGAATGTGAAGAGACCAGATGACTGCTTCTAGTCCCTAGACTTTGTTTTCTTAGCTCTCAACAGTCTTGACACTTGTCACTCTATCCATTCACATGATTGCCCTGTTTTCCCTTCAGTCCATTACATGAGAAAGTCCCTGTTTCAATATTAATAAATGTCAGTTTCTATTCTTAAGGGTACAGTAAAAATGAGTATGGAGGCACTTTTGAAAATTTTCTGCATCTTCTAAGATTTCTATGCTTAATACACATTTCTTGGACATTATAATGGTAATATTGGAATGGGGCATAATGAGTTGCTAGTTGTTGGGTTTCTTTTTAATTGGAAAAGTAACACAATTACCTATTTGTGAATTATAGCATGGGAAAGATGGGGGATTTTGTCATTTCTATTGAAGAATGAATGGCCAGAATGGTTATACTAATGGGTTTTTTATAATCAATTTTTATATTGCCCATATTATATGATAGTCAGTTACTAAAAACTTATTTTGAACCTCTATAGTCCTTTAAGTAAGCCTATACCCAAGCTATCCAAGACTTAATGAATTATGATTTTTTGACTTTCTGAAAAAGATGTATTCTGTAACATTAATTGGAAGGCTGTTATAGTTCACAATAATTTGTAGCGAGATGTTAGAATCCATGAGCCAGTGTTATAAAACTTGAATATTTCAAGAATCTTTGATATCATTAGCATTGTTATAATATATCTGACAACTTCACTCTCAGTATAAAGTCTTTAAGACTTTCTCTAACCAAAAATTAAGTCATCCTTCAGCCCATGTAGTAATGAGACTCTCCATGCTTAGCTGTGATGGTACAAAAATGAAAAGTATAGAGTCCATTATCAAGTCTGTGAATAAAGTCTTTCCCACTTGATGGAAATAGCCAGATTGTTCTTCTGCTTGATTGGCACAGCCTTTTTGAATCCAGGGTCTCTTCCACGACATGAAGATGTATTGAGGGAGAACAATTATCTAGATGCATGACTGAAATGTTAAATTTTTAACTGAATCAATTTTAACTTTGGCACCTTATTCAAATTTCAAGAGTAGGTTCTTGATTTTTCATTACATGCATTAATATTTTAAAAACATCAGTGGGTCCAGAATTTTTTCTGGATATGTGTCAATTACTAAGAGGCTTGAAACCATCAGCCTTCTTTGATGAATCCCAGTAAAACTTTCTTTGTTCAGTAATAAGGAGAAATGGTCAGTAGGTGATATGGAATGTCTTTTATCTAGCCAGCTAGACAGCATAGTGGATAGAGGGTTGGCCTTGGGGTCAGGATGCCAGGTGTTTGAATCCTGACAAAGAAAGTTATTAGCTATATAATCCTGGGTTAGGTACATTCCTGCTTTCAGACTTACTTTCTGCATCTACAAAATGGGATTAATAATGTCATTTACCTTCCAGAAGGATTGTGAGGATCAAATAAAATAACATATATATAAAGCAATACTACTCTTAAAGCTTCCTGTATAAATATTATTATGTTAGTTATTACTGTCCTACCAAGGCTGTTGACAAACAAAAATTTGATTATCCTTGAATGTTCACTGAGGATGTCAAATGTGATGGAATGCAAAAAAGTTATTATATACCAGGTAGATTAAAAAAAAATACTTTCCTCCCAAACATATCACCTTTGACTGTCACTAAAGGAAATTATTTGTGTAACTTGTGTAAGTTAATCTTCATAATGTCATATACATTGCAACCTAGCATTTGGTGCTGTTCTAGTGCTTCATCCCTTTTTCTAAAGAAGTAATGGAAATTAGGCAGTCCTTGATTTTACTTCCATTGTCATACTTCTTCCCAGGGAGGAAGTATCAGATATAGGCTCTCTTTAATGTTTGGTAACTAGATAACAGTAAATTATGTTTTCTCCTACTGTGTTCTATATCAACAACATATGACAATTTGTAAATGTTTAGCTTCTTTCACATTCAATATATTTAAATTATATTAGCAAAGTGAGAGCTTATGAAATTAATGAGAAATTGTACAGTGGGAAAAAATGAAATGTTAGGAAAATGTGTTTAGAAGCAATTTTTGGCTACCTTTTAATAGATAACTCATGTGAACTTTTATCATCACAGTGACCTAGACTTTAAGAACATTGACCTATTCATGATGCACAGTAACAAAATCATCCATTCCAAATTAACCTGGGACTCATAGGAACAGCATGACTACTATTCTTTTTTTTTTTAATCAGGGGTTAGAGGTAGATCTACTCAGACTTAGTGAGTGGCAGTAATGCATCCTCACTTCTTTCTGCCTCCGACCTAGACTAAGGGTTCTAAAGACCTTGATATAATTCACCACCTCAATGAAGATTTGAAGAAACCACAACAATCAGAATCATTTCCTTTCCTAAGGTAATATAAGATTTTATCTTCTCCTCACAGGAGACATAATATGTTCTTACACTTTACCGTTTTACATAGTACTTCTGTATCCTTGTCTAGCTGCACACATATGTAATCTCTTGTATTCTTAAAGTTTAACTTTAGGAAGGACAACAATTATATAGCACATCAAAGCAGTCTATACATTTATATATGGCAGAAAATTATAAAATCATTAGAAGTGCATCTTACTGGTTTGAGCCTTCTCCCCTCTGCCTTTTTCTCCAATGTCAAAAAAAGGATTAACAAAGATCAGCAGATATGTGTTTTGTGGGATTGAGTAGATGCAAATTAAGCTATGTATTTTAATATATTCCTCCAATGTCTTTGGTTTCATCATAGGGTTATGGAGAACAATCAGACCACAGTGACAGATTTCATTCTGCTGGGATTTCTTGTTAGCCCTAAGATGCACCTAATTCTCTTTGGGCTCTTCTTCCTACTCTTCACGTTCACTCTGCTTGGAAATGGAGCCATTCTGGGACTGATTTGTCTTGAGTCCCAACTCTACATTCCCATGTACTTCTTCCTCTCACAACTGGCCATTGTTGACATCTCTTATGCCTCAACCACAGTCCCCCAGATTCTGATAAATCTCCTGGATCCAGCCAAGCCCATCTCTTTTGCAGGCTGTATAACACAGATCAACTTCTTTTTGATTTTTGCCCACACTGAATGTCTTCTGCTGGTAATGATGAGCTATGACCGGTATGTGGCAATCTGTCATCCACTCAGATATACTCTCATTATGAGTTGGAGAGTGTGTATTGCACTGGCTATCACATCTTGGGCATGTGGATCCTTTCTGGCATTGGTCCATGTGCTTCTCCTCCTTAGGCTGCCCTTCTGTGGTCCTCGGGAAATCAACCACTTCTTCTGTGAACTCCTGTCTGTCCTGAAACTTGCCTGTTCAGACCTTTGGCTTAACAAAATGGTCATCTTTATTGCCTGTGTGCTTATTGTAGTTGGACCTCTCTGCTTAATCCTAATCTCCTACACCCATATCCTTGGTGCTATTCTGAAAATCCAGTCAGGAGAAGGACGAAAGAAAGCCTTCTCCACCTGCTCCTCCCACCTCTGTGTGGTCGGGCTTTTCTTTGGGAGTGCCATCATCACTTACATGGCCCCTAATCAAGGAACTCTGGGGAACAACAGAAAATTCTCTTCTTGTTTTACAGCTTCTTTAATCCTACCCTAAATCCTTTGATCTATAGCCTGAGAAATGCAGAGGTAAAGGGGGCCCTAAGAAGATTGCTTAGGAAGGAGAGAACAGGTTAATGGATTGAATAGAACTTTCTTTTTTATAGAGGAAGGGACAGGAATGGAGCCTTTGGAGATTGTGCAGTAAGTTCCATGAGACCAAATCACCCTTTTTCTTTTTTCTGTGTCCAAAATTCTCTTGTTCCCCTTTTCTGCCTATGCCTCCTTCTGGAGCACTTCCATGGGTATGAATCTCTTTATTTTTGCCCTACATTTCCCTTCTTTCAGTGATTTGCCTCCATACTTCCAATGTTCCTACTGAAACATTTTGTTTCTGTGTCCTATTCTCTCAGACACTGCATGTGAGTGCAGCTAGGGAAACTACAAACTTAAAAGCAATATTGATATAATTTCTTTTTATATTACACTTACTTCTGATTATATCCCTCTCTTCCTTATTTTAAGATCCTTCATGTTTTATAAAGAATAAAAATTAAAGAAAAATGTAATTCAGCAAGATTAATTAATAATTGTGTGAAGACTGACAGTATCTTCAAGGTTTGATATCCATATCCTTATCTATAATCACCAATATCTTCAAAGCATACAGAGAAATGAATTATTCCATCTCATCTCTGGGAATCATTTTGGTCATTTATTCATTAATTCAATCAGTCAGTCAACAAGGATTTATTAACAGGTACTGTGCTAAGCACTGGGTATACATGGAAAGGCGAAGCAGCATTCCCATCATCATGGACCTGATGTTTAATGGAGAAAATAATTTTCAAACAACAATTTATGTTAAATTAACATTCAGTGGAACTGGAAGGTAATCTTAAAGGAAAGGCACTAGATGTGGGGATTATCAAGAAAGATCACTTGCTGAAGGTGTAATGGTTTTTTTCTTTTTGAAAAACGTAAATTCTGTAAATTATCTTCTTCCAGAATAAGCCTGTTTCACTCCTGTTAAAAGTAAGTTCATCAATATGTCCACAGTTCTTAGATTATTTTTTTCAGGAACACCAGAATATTTAGCTACTGCACCCTTATCTGCATTGTCCACCTCTCTAGTAATTTTCTTTAAATTATGTAACTGAACTTGATGTTTATAGTATCAAGCTAAAAATACTTTCACTAAAAATTTATTATTCATTTAATTTTCATTTCTTTCACTGTCTTACATTAACTTGAAGCTTTTGTGGAAATAGTAATAATAAGCAATAACTAACATTTAAGGAGTGCTTACCATTTACCAGGTTCTGTGCTAAGCATTTTATAATATCATGGCATTTGTTTCCCAGAACAATCATGGCAAATAGGTGCTATTATTATCCCAATTTTACAGATGAGTTAACTATAAACACAAGTTAAGAGAACAAGTGACATGCAATCCAGTGCAGAAAGGCAGAAATATTAAATGCACCCTTTTCATATCATGATGCAATAAAAAAATTACACATATTAAAAGGCCATGGAAAGATAGACTAAAAATTAATTGGAAACTAAATAATCTAATCCTGTAGAATGAGTCCAAAAACAAATCATAGAAATAATCAATAACTTCATCCAAGAGAATGACAATAATGAGAAACCATATAGAAACTTATGAGATGCAGAGAAAGTAGTTTTTAGGGGAAGTTTTATATCTCTAAATGCTTACATGAATAAAATAAAGATGAGATTAATGAATTGTGCATGCAACTAAAAAAGCTAGAAAAAGAACAAATTAAAAATCACCAATTAAATACCCAATTAGAAATTCTAAAAACCAAAGGAGAGATTAATAAAATTGAAAGTGAGAAACTATTGAAATAGTAAATAAAACTAAGATCTGGTTTTATGGGGGGGAAAAATAAAATAGATCAACCTTTGGTTTAATTTTTTTTAAAAAAAGGAGAAAACCAAATTACCAGTATCAAAAATGAAAAGGAGGGGGTAGCTAGATGGTGCAGTAGATAGAGCACTACCCCTGAATTCAGGAGGACCTGAGTTCAAATCTGGCCTCAGGCACATAACATTTACTAGCTGTTTGACTCTGGGCAAGTCACTTAACCCCATTGCCTAACCAAATTAAAAAAAAATGAAAAGGGTGAGTCCAACACCAAGGAAGAAGAAATTCAAACAAAAATTAGGAACTATTTTGCCCAACTGTATGCCAACAAATTTGACAATCTTAGTGAAATGGATGACTATTTACAACAATATAAATTGCCCATATTAACAGAAGAAGTAAAAAAATGTGAATAACCTCATCTCAGAAAAATAAATTGAGCAAGCTATTGATGAACTCCCCAGGAAAAAATTTCCAGGGCCAGATGGCTTTACAAGTGAATTCTTTCAAACATTTAAAGAACAATTAATTTCAATACCATATAAACTATTTGGGAAAATAGCCGAAAAAGGAGTCTTAGCAAATTCTTTTTGTATTACAAATATGGTGCTGATGACCTAAACTAGGAAAAGTCAAAACAGAGAAAGAAAATTATAGATCAATTTCCCTAATGAATATAGATGCAAAAATTTAAATAAAATATTAGCAAATAGATCACAGCAACTTATCATAAGAATAATTTACTATGACCAGGTAGGATTTATACCAGGAATGCAGGGATGGTTCATTATCAGGAAAACTATCAGCATAATTGTTCATATCAACACCAAAACTAACAGAAACCATATGATCATCTCAATAGATGCAGAAAAAGCTTTTGACAAAATGCAACACCCATTCCTATTAAAAATGCCGGAGAGCATAGGAATAAATGGAGTCTTCCCTAAAATAATGAGTAGTTTCTACCTAAAACTTTCAACAAACATCATATGTAATGGAGATAACTTAGAAATAATTCCAATAAGATCTGAGGTGGAAAAAGGATGTCCATTATCACCACTGTTGTTCAATGTCTTACTGGAAATATTAGCTTTCTCAATAAGAGAAGAAAAAGAAATTGAAAGTATTAGAATAGGCAAAGAAGAAACAAAGCTGTCACTCTTTGCAGATGATATGATAATATACTTAGAGAATCCTAGAGAATCAAGTAAAAAACTACTTGGAAATAATGATCAACTTTAGCAAAATTGTAGGCTATAAAATAAACCCACATAAATCATAGGCATTTCTATATATTAACAACAAAGCCCAGCAGCAAGAGATAGAAAGAGAAATTCCATTTAAAGTTACTGTAGACATTATAAAATATTTAGGAATCTAACTACCAAACCAAACCCAGGAACTATATGAACACAATTACGAGCAACTTTTCACAAAAATAAAGCCAGATCTAAATAATTGGGAAAATATCAGTTACTCATGGGTAGGCCAAGCTAATAAAATAAAAGTGACAATTCTACCTAAGTTAATTTACTTATTCAGTGCCATACCAAACTTCCAAAAATAATTTTATGGAGCTAGAAAAAATAATTACAGGATTCATTTGGAATAACAAAATGTCCAGAATATCAAAGGAACTAATGAACAGAAATTGCTGGGGAAGTTGGCCTAACCATTCCAGATCTTAAATTGTATCATAAAGCACCAATTATCTATTAAAACTACTTGGTATTGGCTAAGACATAGAGTAGCGGATCAGTGGAATAGGTTAGGTATGCAAGACACGGTAGTCAATGACTATAGTAATCTACTATTTGATAAGCCCAAAGACCCTAGCTTCCATGATAAGAACTCACTATTTGACAAAAACTGCTGGGAAAACTGGAAAAGAGTATGGTAGAAATTAGGTATAGACCAAAATCTCACACCACATGTTGTAAAGATCGTTTCCCAGTTTTCTGTTTTCCTTCTAATCTTGGTTGCATTGGCTTTGTTTGTACAAAAGCGTATCAATTTAATATGATCAAAATTATCTATTCTTCATTTTGAAATGCTCTCTATCTCTTGTTTGATCATGAATTCTTCCCCTTGCCGTAGATCTGACAGGTAGACTATTCCTTGTTCGTCTAATTTGATTGTTTCATTGTCTATGGCACCTTTTAACAAGATGTAGTTTTCCTCCTTATCTCTTTTAATTAGGTCATTTTTGCTTTTACTTTGCATGAGATCAGGATTGTTACCACTGTTTTTTTTCCACTTTAGTTTAAACATAATAGATTCTGCTCTAGCCCCTTATATTTACTCTTTATGTGTCTGTCTCCTTCAAAGGTGCTTCTTGTAAGCACAATATTGTAGGATTTTGGTTTTTCGTCCACTCTGTTATGCATTTCCATTTATGAGAGAGTTCATCCCATTCATTTTCATAGTTATAAATGCTACCTGTGTATTTCCCTCCAATTTATTCTTCCTCATGTTTGTCTTTCTCTCTCCTTTCACCCTTTCCCACCTCACCAGACTTTTGCTTGTCTACCCCCTCCCCTGATCTGTCCTCTCTTCTGTCAGTCCCCATCCCACCACTTTTGTTTAATGTCCTCCCCTCTTTCCTGTCAGGTAAGATAGATTTCTATATTCAATTCATTGTGTATATCATTCCTTCTTTGAGCCAATACTGATGAAGATAAGATTCAAGTAATGCCCATTTCACACCCTCCCATCTCTCCCTCCCATCATAATAGGTCTTTCTCACCTCTTTGTGTGAGATAATTCACCCCATTCTACCGCTCCCTCCCTTCTGCATCCATTGTACACCTCTTTCTCATCCCTTGATTTATTTATATCATTCCCTCAAATTCACCTTATACCTGTACCCTCTGTCTATGTATATTCCTTCTATCTGTACTTTTAGTGATAGAATATTTTTATGAGACAAATAGTTCATTCCTACATTGAAAGAAACACTAAACATGGAAGAATCATAGTACACGTTAATAGACTTAAGATGAACGAAATTTAAAAAAAAAAACCTTTTCACTATGCATGCAGTCATCTGGGAGGCTAATATTTAAACCTCACCAGGATATAAGGCAGTATTTATATCTTTGTGGGGTTGGTGTTCTCATAAGCTCCCCATATTTTGTGTGGGGAGCAGTGGCAGGCTCTCCAGGATGCTGGGATGGAAAATGACCATTCTCTATGTCTCACATAAGTGACACCATTTTTAAGAGTTACAAGTATCATCTTCCTT